CAGGTTTGTGAGCTGAATCGTTGGTTAGTGTTCTTTCCCTGTTATCCACAAGCTGCTGCATCTTTATAATGTTAAGATAACTGCTTTATTTCATTATTTTTTGCACTTTTAAGATTTCTGACCTAGTTCCCTCTATTTGTCTCAGAGCCATTCTATGGTACAATTTGCTTATACAATAGGGAGAGAAGAGAAAAATTGTCAGAAGATTTCTATTTTAGCATTCTACCAACTGAAATGCAGGATGTAAGCCTTATAACTAATTTGGCATTAAATTCTTTGGTGCTTTGGTTTTTCATATTGATGACTTAAAAATCCACTCTTTCTCATTTACCTGGACAGACTAATAAAGTATCTTCAGAACCTCATGGACTTTTCTATTTAGATGCTCCGTCAGCATTTGTGTGTCTACTAATCCAATTAGAGAAGCCTGCAACAGAAGTGACTCCTTCTGTTTATTCACGTAAAGAACCTGTATGTATGAAGAACTTATATTTTTCCGTCTTTTTCATCTTCAATCTGACCTCTGATTAAATGTGACAAAATTTCTCTTTTGTTGGCTTGCTTGTTAGATGGCAGCAAGAATTTTACCTGTTGGCTTGCTTGTTACCTGGCGACACGATTTTTACCTGTTGGCTTGCTTGTTATCTGGCGGCAAGAATTTTAACTATCGCCCCCTCATCATCTGTCTTTCAATTGGTTTTTACTGTACTTCTTACTGTGGAAAATAATGGCTCTGCATCTGCTAGATAAGTTAGCTAATCATTGGCATTGCAATTAAGGCTTGATATTTTAGTTTTTGGGCCAGGGTGATTAACCATTAGCTGAGATGGTGGAGCATTTGGTCTTTCTCTTACAGCAAGATAATTGTGAAATTAGTAATTCTTCAGTGGATTTTCATCCATACTTATTTTCATCTATATTCATTCATCAATGTACTACTGCTACATATTACCATACTTTCTTTTATCTATGCTTCCTTACACATTACAAATGACTTCTATTTTGCTTGCATTGATCCTTTTGTTGCTCTAATGTTTTGGATCAGTTGATTATGAAATTGTTTCTCATAGGTGATTAGAATTCAATGTTTTGGTACGTCTAGTAGGAAGGGGTGTTTATTTCTCAGAAATATTAATCGACTGGAGTTTGGTGAACGTTGACATTTTAAACGATGAGAGAAAACAAAGCAATAAAAAAACCTGGTGATGCAGCTGTTGTGCATTTGAACTTAAATTGTTACATTGCATGCTAAGTGTTCTCATTTTAGTGAAGAGATGATTAGGAAAGTCTATAAATAATTTAAACCATGTCAGTTGAGAATTGTTGCATGTGTGAGGCAACATAGTTTTGGCTATTGGAATATGAGGGTAGATCTTCAGCCACTAATGTTGAACTGAACATCAAGTTTGTTGTAGGACACTCTTAAATATTTTAGAGTTGATGAAAGCTTGGGGAAAATAAATATAATTTTGATTTATTTTAGTAGCTGTATGGTTTTTGACTATTGTTATTGCTTAATGGTAATCATTTCTAAGGTAATTGCACATTTTACCCTCTGCATCTCAAATAAATTCCTTATAATTATTGTTGTTCTCTATCTTCTCCTTAACAGGT